GGCAGATTTTCAAAAATGTAACTTAGTAATTTCTTAACCATATCCTAAATCTGTCTTTTTTTAAAAAATAAAATCTGAGAAGATACTGAAAAAAAAAAAAAAAAAAAATGATTGAAGAACATATAAGTTAATTCACAAAAAAGAAAGTTCAAGCAGTGAACATTTGAAACAGATTTAAGCATCAATAACTCAATAAACATTTGGAGAAGTATTAAGCCTCAATTTATCTGAATAGTTAAATATATTCAAACTACTATGATGCTTTTATTAATTTGTATTACATAAACATAGGCAAAATCAGTGATGCTGTAGTGAAAAAGTTTTTCATGTGTATTTCTGCATATAGACATGACAAATGTCCTAAATAATTAGTTTTTACATGCTTTAACTCATATTTCCAAATTGGGCATTACAAACAAAAGAAAAATAATTTCTAGAAATGTATTTACAACTAAATAAATATCATGGCTAAAATCTACAAAAGAGTTCAAATGTCTACCCATATTAGAAATGGCTGCTAATTTGATAATATATTTCCTTATAATTAGAAGTGACCAGTGTTTTTTTCTCTGAATTAGGATTTGCCGAACCAATTGGTAAGTTATTTTTACTTTTTCTCAATCACTGAAATTTTAGTTTAAATAATAAGCTAGAGTTATTTCTTCACTTTTTTAATTGTTTCTTCAGACCCTGATATTTTTCAGTTACTCCTCATGCCAATTAAAAAACAGCTCCTGATGAATTCTGAGCCAGAAAAATCAACTGATGAACAAAAATAATTTTAAAAAGCAATAAAAAGACTCTAAGATTAGCCATACATTCTTAAAAGAGAGAGTAGTTGAAAAAGAAGACTAGTGAGAGAGGTGGGAATTAAAAATATTAAAAAGAAAAAAATAAGCAGAAATTTTTTACAGTCTCCATAAACTCTCAAAGTACACGAGACACTAGGGAAAAGAATGAACTCATTTATAATATGTGCGTATATAAACCATATTAATTCTGAGCTGTTTAAAGATTTAAAAAATAAAAGATATACAAAGTAATAAAATCTTCTTAATGTGGAGTTGCAATCTTAAGTTTCTCAGTTGGCAAAGGTTTTATACAGGGGACCCACAGCAGGTGAGTGCATCTAAAGTGAAGAAGTAAAGTTTTTTCCACTTCTGGGACTACATTTTATTTGTCTCATAAAGGACCACCTTGCTAGGAATCACAGCATCAAATTAAGTGATGCAAAAGTGTTTATGCTTCTTGAGTGTTATTTTATGACCCCTCAAATAATACTTATAGGAGGAATTATGTTGTACACTTAATAGCTGAAACAAAAAATAACAGTTTGTGTTTTCATTTCAGCAAAAGTTTCACCACTTCCTAGTAAGTACATCATCTTATTCTATGTATAAAAGTAATTCTACTTCCAAGTCCATTGCTGTATACACAAGGATGTTATGAAGTTTTATGATTTTTATTTTTCAGTGGAACAAAAAATAAGAATTTTACTGTTATTGACAACTATACTGAAACAAAACACACATGGTTCATAGAAAGAATAAACTGAAGAGGACACTGTTATTTAATCAGATCAATGGCCTTGCCAGTAACAAAGAAAACTCTTACTGGGGATAAAAATGAGTTGAAGCTAAAAAAAAAAAAAGAGAGAGAGAGAGAGAGAGAAATACAAGGGAGAAAGAATTTTTTTAAAAAAATAAAGAAACAAAGAATCTTCTAGACCTTCTAAACCTTGACCAGACTACTTGCAAGTAGACCTTACACATGTTATTGTTGTTATGTGCTGTCAAGTCAGACCCAACTCATAACAACCCCTCCTTGGGTTTCTGAGGTGGTATCACTACAGAAGTAGATTGCCCAACCTTCCCTCTGAGGAGATAGGTTCCAAAATTTAGTTTGAAGCCTGGACAATAATGAAAGAGAATAAAAGAATTAACTATACCTATATTTCTTCTGGGAGCTCTGGTAGCATAGTGCCTAAGACATTTGACTGCTAACCAGCAGGCTGCCAGTCCCACCAGCCACCAGCCACTCCTCGAAAGGAAGATTGGGCACTCTACTTCCATAGTGGTACTACTGCCTGAGAAACCCAAGGAGGGGTCGCTATGAGCCGGATCTGACTCGATGGCAGTGAGTCTGGTTTTGGTATATTTCTTCTAGGATGTCAAAACTAACAGAATATAATAATCATAAAGGAATTATAAATGGAATGGAAAGAAGAGTGGGGAGACAGAAATGACAAAATGTAAGAGAATCAAATGGACTATATTGTGTCTTAATGGGCAGAAGAAGCAAGTAGAATTACCACTGCTCCAACTCATATTAACAAGAAGAGCTGTATTAATAAGAACACATTTTTTAAAAGTAATAGCTTAGATTTTGTGATAACTGAAGAGAAACAGCTACAATTGTTAGATATCCTAGATCAGACTTTAGAAAAACTGACTTCAAAACTTCCAATTATAAATTGACTGACTCAGGTAGGATAATGCAAATCAAAATCATCCAGGCCTGATCCCTATGAGGTGGAGGTCAGACATACCTCCACCTCCAATCTCTTTTACCAATTCTGATTCTAACCATCCTCCCCACAGCACTCTCTATTTCTCTGCTTGGTTTGCAAATCATTGTAATGTCCATAAAGAACCCAGATCACACTTAACAGTTAAGTGGCTTATTAAGGAAGTAACAGGTACAACTTGGGATCAGGATCAGGAAACACGTAAACAAAGTCTCTCTTCTACAGTGCAGGGCAGCTCTCTCAGCTCCTCTTGGACATACAGGTCTCCTCTCAGCCCCCTGAGAATAAGCCTCCTCTTTTACTCATGTGGGCCTCTCACTAACTTCAGTATTACCAGCCCTTGATCCACATTATAGCTCTTTTAGGAGGTTCCTTACTTTCTCTCACTCTTTCTCTCTGCTTTTTCTCCCTTCTTTCTTTTTTCTGCTTCTCTTCCTGCTTTTTTCTATCTCGGAAACCTCTGTGAAGGTTATATACACAAACTGCTGGTCGATTTTCAAGACATGTACCTCCCACCAGGGCCATGAACTGACCAATCCTCTTTCAGCAGGCCACAGATACTTCACTTGCATAGTAGGCCACAGACACTTCATTTGCATAGTCTATTGACCAATCTCTGAAAGGTGCATACCAATCACAGGGCAGGCGGCAGCCCAGGATGAGACAAAGTATCAAACCACAAGTTGTTTACAACTTACCCAGGAAATGTCAATAGACCTGGACCAAAGTAACAAACCCTCTGGGTTAGAAAAGGAGAGCAAAGGTACCTCAGGGCTTGGGGGAAAATCTCTCAAACTATTTTTCCAAAGAACCGAGGGAAAAGGCCACATGAAGGAATTCATTTCACCACATAAACCTACTAGTAGTAGAAATCAAGCCAACTTCAATTCTAGTGATCTCATATGTTTCACAGTAAAACTAAACTGCTATCACTATGAGAAACCATGATCCCTTCAGCAGAAATATTTAAGACTTAACAAACACTTTAAGCAACATGTAAAGAAACATTTAACAACACTGGAGGAAGTATAGACCACTTGGCCAAAAGCATTTCATATTTAATGGGTATCATATATATGAAGAATTCAGGCAATAATGATTCCAAGCTTGAC